TGGGATGCAAATGGGTCTTTGCGGTCAAAGTTAATCCAGATGGCTCTGTGGCTAGACTTAAGGCTCGACTAGTGGCTAAAGGATATGCTCAGACTTATGGGGTGGATTATTCAGACACATTTTCTCCGGTGGCTAAACTCACTTCTGTTCGCTTATTTATTTCCTTAGCTGCATCTAAGAATTGGCCGTTGCACCAGCTAGATATCAAGAATGCATTTCTTCATGGTGATCTCCAAGAAGAAGTGTATATGGAGCAACCACCTGGATTTGTTGCTCAGGGGGAGTATGGTAAAGTTTGTCACCTAAAGAAATCCTTGTATGGTTTGAAACAAAGCCCTCGTGCTTGGTTTGGCAAATTCAGTGAAGTAGTTCAGGAATTTGGGCTGAAAAAGAGCATGTGTGATCACTCAGTCTTTTATAAACAATCAACAATTGGCATTATTCTTCTTGTGGTATATGTTGATGACATTGTTATTACAGGAAGTGATTATTCGGGGATCTCTTCACTCAAGTCATTCTTGCATACTAAATTCCACACAAAAGATTTGGGACAACTAAAATATTTTTTGGGAGTAGAAGTAACTAGAAGCAAGAAGGGAATCTTTCTATCTCAGAGAAAGTATATCCTTGACCTACTTGTGGAAACTGGAAAGTCCGCAGCCAAACCTTGTAGTACTCCAATGGTCCCTAATGTGCATCTGACCCGTGATGATGGCAGCCCCTTTGATGATCCAGAGAGATATAGGAGGTTAGTAGGGAAACTAAACTATCTCACTGTAACACGTCCAGATATTGCTTTTGCAGTGAGTGTTGTTAGTCAATTCATGTCTGCACCTACAGTCAAACATTGGGAAGCCTTGGAACAGATCTTATGCTACTTGAAAAGATCCCCTGGACTTGGCATTTTATATGGTAACCACGGACATACTCACATTGAGTGCTTTGCTGATGCTGATTGGGCTGGATGTAAAACCAATAGACGATCTACTACTGGTTATTGTGTCTTTGTTGGTGGTAATTTGGTGTCATGGAGAAGTAAGAAACAAGGTGTTGTATCGCGATCCAGTGCAGAATCTGAATATAGAGCTATGGCGCAATCCACATGTGAGATCATGTGGATACATTCTAAACCAACAAAAATCTGGTGTGATAATCAAGCTGCTCTTCATATTGCCTCAAATCCTGTGTATCACGAAAGAACAAAGCATATCGAGGTAGATTGTCACTTTATTCGTGAGAAGATCCAAGATAACTTGATTTCCACCGGTTATGTAAAGACAGGAGAGCAACTAGCTGATTTGTTCACAAAGGCGTTAAATGGAGCTCGAGTTAATTATCTTTGTGACAAGCTGGGCATGATCAACATCTATGCTCCAGCTTGAGGGGGAGTGTTATAGAATATAATAGGTGTAAATATTATATCTTCCATATATAGCTAATTTAATTATAGGAGCAGATTCTTAGTTGATTTACTTTGATTAGTTTTCCTTTCATAGAAGCATAGTATTTGTATAAGTATCTTGTCTTGATGAATAGAAAGGAACAAGTCATTCTCCATATAATATAAGTTACACTCCTTAAATAGTCTTGGGCAATCCTCATCTATAGCTTTTAGGGTTAAGTAAAGCCCAGTGTTTATTTTCTTTAAAAAAATGCATGTGAATATGCCACTACAGTAAGGCTTTTGGCAGTCTAGCTAACCGTTCTATCCCCCAAATATGTTTTTTTCGTTATGATTATTAAGATCACAGAAATGTTTGAGCGCGTCTTATGCTGCTACTTACCATTTCTGGTGATTTCATTCGAGGCGCTCAGCTATTACTGTATAACTCATTTCTTGATAAAGTACTCTATAACTCATTTTACAAGCTATTGAGATGAAACCAACCTTTACAGGGTGCAGCATGTGTCTTGGTTCCTGGTGGGTTTGGTGATCGTGGGGTCAAGGGGATGATATTGGCTGCAAAGTATGCTAGGGAGAATAACGTACCATATCTTGGAATCTGTTTAGGGATGCAGATTTCTGTAATCGAGTTTGCCAGATCTGTAAGTTGATTCTTTCGATGTCAAATTGGAATATTTTGTGTTAACCATCTCTTTGATGTGGCAGTATCTCTTTTGAATTTTGCAGGTTTTGCGTTTGGAGAAAGCAAACAGTGAAGAGTTTGACCCCCATACACCGGACCTTGTTGTAATTTTCATGCCTGAGGTAGTGTGCTCTTTGTAATATTACAAAGAAATGAAACCGTATTTGTCTCATTTATATATTTCTCTGTTGATGCTTTTCTGATATCATGGGCTTAAAAAAATTGCAGGGGTCAAAGACACATATGGGAAGCACTATGAGGCTTGGATCTAGGAAAACATTGTTCCAGACTCCTGATTGTATCATGTCAAAGCTGTAAGAGATATATGTTCACACACTTCTACGTTATCAAATACCATTTATTCATCATAACAGTGTCTTGACCAGATTTGATCAATTAGATTTCTATGGAGTTTAAGGATTTGAAGTAAGAGCCCGTTTGGATTGGCTTAAAAAAGCAACTTTTAATTCAAAAAACAAAAAGTCAAACTTAAATGATTTTTATGTCGAAAAATAAAAAGTAGGGGGAGTCCTACTTTTAGTTTTTTAATTTTTTTTTTAAAGTCATTTTAAACTTATTTTAAGTTATTTTTAACTTTGCCAAACACTCCCAAAAGCTAAAAATGACTTAGAAGTAGATTTGACCAACTTTTAAGTCGATCCAAACATGCTCTAAGTCTAGGATAGCCAATTTCTACGCATCTTCTCTGTATCAGGAGCATAGATATGATTTTATGGCGGGCTCGTTTGTGGATTGCCTATCATATAGTTCACCCATCTGCTCTCATCGAAATACTAGCTTGTTCTCGTTCACCTATCTAAGAGTAATTTAGATACAAGATTTAAGATGGGTTTTTTTGTGGATCTCTACTGGCTTGTTTTTGTTTTGCTCTCTATTTATGGGTTGCATGTCCAATTGATGCTTTTCTAATATATTATTACCCGTTAAAGAACAGAAATTTTTTCTTGTAGATTCCCATTGTGTTTTTCCTTGTGCACGCTTAACATCTTTTCTTTTGACAGGTATAACAATTCTAAGCATGTGGATGAACGACATCGCCATAGATATGAGGTTAGCATAAGCCTATACTTGTTGCATTGTAATGCATGTTGCATTAATTATGCTGTCATCCTCATGGAATAAAATGGTGGTGTATATTGCAGGTCAATCCTGAAGTTGTAGGCACTTTAGAAGAAGCTGGCCTGAGATTTGTGGGAAGGGATGAAACTGGAAAACGAATGGAGGTTTGATTTTGGACTACAGGCTTTAATTGCTGTTGACTTGGTGAAAACTATTGTTTACAATCCTTTAGTTTGATACTCTGTTACAAGTTTTATTTTCAAGTGATTATTGGTTCACTTTAAGTTCATTGCTTTTATTCTTGTTGTTATTGCTTGTAAACTTTTCTCCCGTTTCTCATCCTCTTATTCTTTATGCAGATATTGGAGCTTCCTGGTCACCCATTTTATGTTGGTGTGCAATTTCATCCTGAATACAAGTCAAGGCCAGGGAGGCCTTCAGCTCCTTTTCTAGGTAGGAATTAGTTGGTTGACTTCGGTTTTGATACAAACTAATAATGACCTGCAAACTTGATGCAATATATCATGCATATGGTGTTGCTTTTTAGTGTTTCTGGATTCATTTTCTGTGAATGGATTGTGTAAATGCAGCAAAGTCAAAATGTAGTAGTTTATTTAAGATGGCAAAGCCATCATTTTAGCAGTTGCCCATATTGTTTTTGCAGTATTCCTTTTTATCATTGTTCGTGATATAATGGAGTGCCCATCAGTGTAATGTATGTGAAGGTGTTAAAAGGTGTGAGATAAACCTAAATCACTTGGAGGGAAATTGTCGTGACAGACATACAATTTCTTGTGATCAATGCAGAAAACAGTGTAAGAAAAAGATTCATATAGGTGATATCTACTAGTGGAGAGTAGGATTAAGTCTTGTTATAGAACTTCTAATATTATTGTTATTACTACTATTATTTATGTGTGTTTTTACTTATTTTTACGTAATTTTTATTTGGGATTGAGGCGTAGTAGCTGTTAGAGATTGGGATATCTTCTTTTTTTCTCTTTTGGGGTTTCTTGGTTGATTTCTGGTAGTACAGAAAAACTACATTGTTTTTAGCTAAGGCAATAGCATAATCACTTATATCATGATGATTCTTTTTAATCTTTAGAAATTATATGATGAAACTGCGTCATTGCAGTCCCAGAACAGGATTCTACAGATTTCGCAACTTGTTTATTTTGATTTTTTGCTGTGAGACCATTACCAGCAGTAGAAGAAATAACTTATAATTCTTATTGTACTGTAGGTCTTATCATGGCAGCAACAGGACAGTTAGAAGCTCACGACAAGACTCAGCAGAATGGAAGCATATAAGCAAAACATCAGCACTAACTAGTTGGATAACTTTTTGCTCACAAGGTACACGAAGTCTCAGAACGTATTCCCCTATACAAATTGAACAATTTTTTTCACTGGATATTGGTGGAAAAAATGGGAAAATAAAATTCGAAATTAGTAGTCTAGTGGGTCTCCTGTGTCCAAGCAATGGTTTCCTGGTTGATTTCTGTCAAATATTTAGTTTCTTTCCAATAATTTAATCTCCCAAGTGATTTTGATTGCAGGAAATCTGATTTTGTGGTGTGATCCTCCCAGTTCTCTTAAGCTTGTCGTGAGATTCATGTGGATGTACATTTACTGTTCTGCCTGTCGACACAAAGCCCCCTCGAGTATGAAGCTGCGTGCTATGGCTGTCAATCATTTGGAAGTGATTTAGCTGATACCCATCTTCTTGTTATCCGCCAACCTTGTTGACGACAGATAATTTTGAAGATTTAGTTTGAGTGCTTTAGTTCTCTACTGCATTTGGGATGTCACCTCATTTTCCTTTTTTTTCCCTTCAAAATTAAGAATTGTTTCGAGGTTGGCAGTGCTTTATACATTTACTGCTCATTCAGATCAGACTCAATGGAAACCCGATTATGTTGTGAAATTATGCCATTTTGTTTTATTTATGATCCAATGAGTGATCAAAGTGTTGGTAAACTGATTGTATTATAGCCAGAAACTTTGGAACATGAAAGCATGATGGAGTGTAAAAGCCCTTGCAGCATGGATTCTATAGTTTGAACCTTCGTATAAGAAAAATACAATGTTCACTTAACAAACTTCAAAATTGAATCAGAAACCAAGAAAAATATATACTCCAAATAAATATCAGCTCGTTCTGGAAAAGAGAACTTTGATACTTTTATTTTGCATTTTTTGAATGGAATACCTCATCTATCTACAAAAATGTCCTATACCGAAAGAATACTAATGCAGGATTTGGATACATGAATTCGTAGATTGTCGTTACTGAGAAGCGTCTGCAGCTCTCTCTCCTCCATTAATTAGCGAGCGTTTCATGGTATTGTAGATATGACAGTTGTTTTTGCAGCTTTATTTGCTGATAGAACTTTGCAATGAACTCCTCTGCCTTCATATCAATAGCTTCATCATCGCCACTAGCAACGATCTCCTCAGACATATACTCATCCTCTTGACATTCAGTCTTCAAGAAGCTCTTCCTAGGAGCGTCATCATTATTATTATCATTGTACATTTCATCCTCGCGCTCATAATCATTGTCAAAGTCGACTTGAGGTTTAATGCAGGGTATGTTAGGCATCTTGAAACGCAAGGAAGCAGGGCGATGCATCTTAACATGAAAGATAGGGGTGTCATCAAATGAAAACTCACGCTCCCCATAATGTAGTGCCCCGTAGTGATCATTGGTATGACGGAGACTTTTAAAATATTTAGGAAGCAAACGGAGATCCACAAGGTGTTTGTTCTTGAAAATGCCACCTTTTCTCGCCCATAATAAGGCTAGACGGAGAACGTTCCAAGCTCTACGAGCCACCAATGATCTCTTCCTCTGCATTTTCGACTTTTCTTGCATGTCTGCAGCTTGTATTTTAAGAGTAGAAGATGCCACTTTTTGGTTGGAAAATCTCTTTTGTTTTTTGTTCAATGTGATGTTTATGAGTGGTAAAGATGTGGATGTGTGGAGAGAGATGCAGAATGTATAATGCTATATATACATATAATAACACCTAAGAAATTAGAGTGAACTGAAAGGAACGCGGTTTGAGTGGAAATAAGAAATTGTAAAGAAATGAATTAAGGGGGCCCAATGTGACCAAGTCCAACTCCTAATTAAGGGCTAAGGCTGGCATATGTTGTGTGGGCGGTGCAAACTGGTGGGACACACGCCTTGTACGCTGCGCAATCAGGGAAAAACAACAAAAATAATAATTTACTACTCAGTTCGATTGTTCACGGTTAGGATAAAAATTGATTCAATTGAAAAATCAAATTCAACTGATTAAATATAATATTTTTTTATTTGATTTGATTTTATTAAAAAAATAAAGAAATAATTGAATCGTACCGACAAATTATATACATATATTTTTTATAATTATATATGCATAATATATTATTTGTATGAATATTTTTTTATGCGAAAAATGCAGCATTATAATGAAAAAGAATAAGATATGATGTGTTATTTGTGCGATTGATAGCTTACGCATTATTCCGTAAGTTTATGTTGTTTAGTATATTAAATAAGCAGAAGTAAACATAATTGGAGTTCTTTACGACACAGAGACAATTTATTTTCTTTTGAATGAATTGTTGTTTCTTCTCTTTTTCTTTTGAGTGAATTGTTATTTTTATTTTGGTGTATGATTAATATTCAACAATCGAGCTGAAATTGATAACAACCAAATCGATAAATATATGTATATTATATTTAGTTTGGTTTGATTTTAACAATTTAAAAATCGATTAAATTGGTTCAATTTTAACTAATAACCGATCCAAACCGACCCATGAACACTCATAACTACACTACAAGATAATAAAAACAAAATTTTATGACCTAATTATAGTTAATTCATATATATTTTCATATTCATTTATTAATTTCAAATGGTTTATAAATTATAAATATTTGATATAACCCACATACTTGTGTAAAAATCAATGTAGACTAAACAATGTAAAATATCTTCGATAGTCAGTCTATTTTCATTAGCACGATGGCTTCGAGGATCCAGAAGTACTTGGAAAGAGAGTTGGCAGCACGCAAGTAGCAACGATAAGTATTTTCTAAGGAATCGACTTAGCTCATAGCCCCTCTATTTTCTTTCCTATTTCAATTCAAATGCATATAAAATATCCTTCATTTCTGGATTTCTACTTTCTATAAATTTATCAAAACTTTAATTGTTTCCGTACTCATCAATTATGAGTATCATATTTGTTGGAGACGACAGATTATAATTTTGGTCCAAAAAAAGTATGTCTTTAAAAATATTATTTAATAAATATAAAATTATTAATTTAGAATTCAGTACTTTAAAATGGTTAGAATTTTAGTCTCATAAACTTCAAATTATATATTTCAATTTGTAGTTAGCCTAGTAAATAGGGTATAGGTTATGATCAAGAAAAGTATATTATGTGAAAGCTAATTGTTGCCAGCTACAACTTAATTTAAATTTGTCTTACGTTAGGTAATCATCAATTATATAGGAATGCATATTTCTCTCCAATCATGTAGCCTCATTAGTGGCTTCACATTTAATTTGTTGGCTGACATATATTTGGCCCCAAATATATTCCAATTTCTGTCGCATTTCTTAAGTAAGCAAAGCATCAATACAAGTCTGTTACACATTTATTTGTTTCTCCTTTTTTTTTTTGGAGTCCGACTAAATTTGAATTCACATCGAAAAGTATTGATCATATTGGGGTAAATCGCTCCCTAACAAAAACTACTTCATACTTAGAGAACTCGAACCCGAGATCTCTGATTAAGGAGGAAGAGTATTTGTTTATCATTTGTATATTAAGTACGTATTGACAAACTAATTACTACTAATTAAATGCTGGCATTGTTGATTTATTGTCTTGTAGTGTGGCTATTGCCTCACCTAGGATTGATTTAACAAAAATAAGAAACGTCAAATGAAGTTTCATACTTGGTAGCAAATATTACCAACATATATAATGCAAATAACAACACTAATTAAAAGAAACTATTCCCCCCTGAAATTTAAAAAGTAGGTGGTATATATATTTATATATATATATATGAATCATTCTGGTTTGTTGGAAGGAGATTATGCACTTCATTGTTCTAATAGCGTGGTCTGAATTTCCATTGAGTTTTTCAAAATAGGAAAAAGTAGACGCATGAAAAAATTGAAGGAAATTTAACATCCTATTATATATAAAAAAAAATATAATTTTAACCATATATAAACAGTATAATTTTCTGCCAAAAAAGATCCGAATAAATCACTAGAGCCTTACTAACTCCGTACCTAATTATACATGTAGTCCCCCACTTGCCCCTGTTTCCTGCCCACTGCTATATATGTTTGGGCCAATTTATATCATTCTTTTAGTTTTGTTGTGGACTCTTCCATAACGTTTTCATGTTTTTGCGGGACATCATATCCACCCATAGTTTCCAACATAATAATAATAATAAAATGATGTGATACTGAGCAAATCTAAGAGTTCTCCATCATAATTATTTTTGTTTTTAATAAATTATTTATGCAGGTATAATTTATTTATTTTAAAAAATAAAAATAAAACAATTAGAAATTTTGAGTCAATTATTTGGTTTTGTCGATCGATTCGTAGTTATTGTTATTAAAGAATAAAAAAGTCTCACATTGGTGGTTAATGGGATAGGTGGACTTCTTATAAGGCTTGAACAATCCTCTTCCCTTTAAGCTAACTTTTGAGATGTGAGTTAGGGCCTAAGACCTAATTTCAGAATTGTTGACTAATAAAGTTTAGTGTTTAACTAAGCACACAATTTATTTTTATTTTTTTAAAACTTGTGATTTTAAAAGTCACCATTTTGTGGAAAATCCTTAGATATGAATATGTTAGGTATTTGTGACTCAATTAGTGAAATAGTATCTCCCCCTCTATAAGTTTTTTTTTAATCGACGTATAAAGAAAATATTACGTACTTTCGTAAATGTTTGTTTGAAAAACATAACTATTAGTAAATATCTTGACATGTGATTTTATCTCGTGATTTTATTCTCGTGATATGAAATCAGAATGAAAACATGTGATTGCAAGCCATTATGCAAGTATTAGTATGTATATATATTGTTTTTGCTGGTTCACCTAGAATTTACTAATTAAATGGTAGCATTGTTTTCTTGTAGTGTGGTTACTGGTTCACCTAGGATTGATTGAACAAAATAATAAAGGTCAAATGAAGCTTCGTACTTGGTAGGAATTAATACCAACATAAATATAATACAAATAACAACACTAACTAAAAAGTACATAAAGAAACCAATACTTATATATACTTACTTTATATATAATTGAGAAAACAATTATATGATATAATATTAATAGTGTCAATAAATTTTTGTAGGAGGGAAAGCATGCAGTTGATTCATGTGGCTTAGGTGCCCTTACGTCTAATGAGATTTTGGATCATGACACTTTTATAACATAGCGTTAATATAATATATTATAATACTCATAAATAAGATATAAGAGTACATTACCATTAGTACATTACTTAATAGCTAATGCAAATTTTAATTTGGTCATATGTGTATTGATATACTACTACTCCCTTTGTCTCAAATATTTATGGAAAGTTTTAGCAATGTTTCAAAACTAACCTTAAAATAAAGAAATTTTTATATAGAAGAGTGCACCTTTTGTCTACTCTTTAATTTGCCGAATAAATGAAACCCAACATCAACATGAGTAAAATATTAATAGTGTCATTAAATATTTGTAGTCTAATAACATACTCTCCGATCTTAAGCCTGCTTAGCTTTATTTGAATTCTAATATATTTTGAAAATCCTTATAGCCGATTTCAATTAAATTAGACTGATACATATATAGTATACATATTGTTTGTTGATATTGGAACTTGTAATTCACCGAGTTCATGCATGCTAGCTTCTACAAGTTGTATTATATACATTATTAATCATCATAGACATGACAGAGGTGAATTCAAACATATTCTATATTTCATGAAAAAACTAAGCAGCTTGTTCTGTAAACATTATATTAAAAAACACATACACTATATTGTTGTGACTTTCGAGCACAAGAATAAATAAAATAATTAATTAGCAACGTAACAGTACGTTTACTAGGAGGGGCCGGGAGGACTTTGCTTGCTGTTATAAGAACAAAAAAGTCTATGGTGAAAGCAAAGCTTTCAACAAAATCAAACCTAACAAATTTAATGTTTTAATTCAAAGTCACATCAATACTCGATTGGTCCCAAAGTTAATCATTGGTTTTGCTCTACAATGCCCAAAATGACCACTCCAAAGCTAAGCTAAGTGGTTGCATCATAAACATATTACGTAGAATGTTGAAATTAAAAAATTATCAAAATAAGAAAAATACATTTTTTGTTTAGACAAATTGAAAAAAGTAATACAAACATTTTTTTTAATCACGCCTCCCTAAGAGCTTCTATGCATGCACATTTTTACTACTATTGACTTGAATTCAAAATTTTAGAGTTGAAAGTGGAGGGTGCTAATCCAAATAACTCACTCTTGTCTAATACAAACAAATTAAAAAGAAAAAAAGTATAATTTTTTTATCATTAATAAAGCAAATGTGCATGCCAATGTCCACACCGTATATATATATATATATATATATATATATATATACCGATATGCGGTGTGGACATTGGCATGCACATTTGCTTTATTAATGATAAAAAAATTATACTTTTTTTCTTTTTAATTTGTTTGTATTAGACAAGAGTGAGTTATTTGGATTAGCACCCTCCACTTTCAACTCTAAAATTTTGAATTCAAGTCAATAGTAGTAAAAATGTGCATGCATAGAAGCTCTTAGGGAGGCGTGATTAAAAAAAATGTTTGTATTACTTTTTTCAATTTGTCTAAACAAAAAATGTATTTTTCTTATTTTGATAATTTTTTAATTTCAACATTCTACGTAATATGTTTATGATGCAACCACTTAGCTTAGCTTTGGAGTGGTCATTTTGGGCATTGTAGAGCAAAACCAATGATTAACTTTGGGACCAATCGAGTATTGATGTGACTTTGAATTAAAACATTAAATTTGTTAGGTTTGATTTTGTTGAAAGCTTTGCTTTCACCATAGACTTTTTTGTTCTTATAACAGCAAGCAAAGTCCTCCCGGCCCCTCCTAGTAAACGTACTGTTACGTTGCTAATTAATTATTTTATTTATTCTTGTGCTCGAAAGTCACAACAATATAGTGTATGTGTTTTTTAATATAATGTTTACAGAACAAGCTGCTTAGTTTTTTCATGAAATATAATATGCTGGCATTCTTGTCCTCCAGTTTGTACGTAGTATGATTAATAGGAATTCTTGCGGCGATTGATTTAAAAGCAAATCCAAAGGCTCAAATTGAAACTTCCTAGAAGTTGAGTTGAAAACATAAAATTTATTGAGGAATATCAAAATATAAGAAAGTAGATATACATAGAAAAATAAAGAGAGGCAACATATATTTATATAAATAAAATTAATAGTTTTTAATTTAGCAAAACAGTGTATTTTTTTTATGAATTACGGAAGCCAATTGTTGCTTCTAGACTAAATCCAATACTTTCTTTCATTGTTTTAATTTATTTGGCTTAAGTCAGAGTACGACGATTACATTAATTAATTGTTGGTGTGCATTTGAATATAGAATTTTCAAAAAAAAAATTAAAATAAAATCTACATATTTAGAAAATACATAAAAGTATTTTATGTCACATAAATAATTACTAATAATTTAAAATATTTGAGATCTTTTTTAATTATCCAAATAGTAAGGAAAACAAATTGTAAAGGGGAGAATATTGCAGTAACAAACACACTGATATACCAGCTCAGTAACACACGGAAATACTTTTTTTCAGGAAAAGAAAAGGATATGATGGTCTTTTATTTTGGTTTATTATTGATGGGAGTTGTATGTATATGTATTAGAGATATGTATATTCACATTACTGTGAATATTTTTGTTTTTAGGTTATAAGGGTCTACACTAATTGTTGAATATTATGTTCTGTGAATTTTTTTATTTTTCGCGTGTATAAATTTCGATGAATTTTCTTATATTTTTATTAGTGAATTGAGATATTCATTCTCTAGTTTGTCACGAGTTTTCTAACATAGTACTCCCTCCATCTACTTTTGATTGTTATGATTTTTTTTAGAGTCAAATTATAAAAAAATTGACTAATATTTTACGGTGTATTTTTTCATCATATATTGATATGCAAAAAATTGCAATCTATAGTACTTTTCATATAGTTTTTTAATATCTAAATTTTTTGTTTAAAATATTAAATATGTAATATAATTTAACTTTGAAAATTAATCAAATTGACTTTCGAAAAATGCTACATAACAATTAAAAGTGGACGGAGGGAGTAGACTCCTCATGTTAGGCATATTTTCGTTATTGGTGACAGAGTATGAAGCCTTTTTCTAGCTATATTTTACATTGTGTGAATATTCTTAATTTACGTCTACATTCTCTATTGATATATTCATTCTCTAGTTGGTCGTGGTTTTATGAGGTTCTTTGAATGTGGCATCCTATTGGCTTGCAGAAGCTGGCTATGTTGTGCTTTCTTTGTTTCAATTTATTTGTTCTGATTTGATTTAACATTTTAAAAAATAATTTTTTAATTTTTTTTTTATGATTTAAATTAAATTAAAGATATATCAAATATATCAAGAACTCCAGTGATATCAGTAATGTAGAATGGATAGATGGAGTACCTCTTCTATGTACAAAAATGCCGTAACACCTCCTATACACATGAAGAATACTATAGCTACTAACTAGTGCTATATAATTTAAACAAGAGAATATGAAAATTGAGGTTTGCAAGTAGTATTAATTTAATTAATTGGAGAGCGTCTCATGGTATTGTAAATATGATATTTGTCTTTGAAGTTTTATTTGTTCATAGAACTTTGCAATAAACTCTTCTGCCTTCATATCAATAGCTTCATCACAATTGATCTCCTCGCACTTCACATTCTCATCCTCAGTATTCAAGAAGCTCTTCCTAGGATTATTATCATCATTGTTCATTTCATCATCGCGCTCAAAGTCAAAGTCAAAGTCAAAATCGACTTGAGGTTTGATGCAGGGAATGCTTGGTAACTTGAAACGCAAGGAAGCAGGGCGATGCATCTTAACATGAATAATAGGGGTATCATCAAACGAAAACTCACGCTCACCATAATATAGTGCCCCATAGTGATCATTGGTATGACATAGGCTTTTAATATATTTAGGAAGCAAACGGAGATCCACGACGTGCTTGTTCTTGAAAATGCCACCTTTTCTCGCCCATAACAAGGCTAAACGGAGAACGTTCCAAGCTCTACGAGCCATAACCGATCTCTTCCTCTGCATTCTCGACTTCTCTTGCATGTCAAATATTGAAAAAGAGGAAGTAAATATGCTTTTGGAAGTTGTTTTTTTTTTGCTTCTTTGTGTTGTGTGTATGAGTTGCAGGAGGAGAAGCACAAAGCTATATATATACATATAATAAAATGCACAGCTAACTCACTTAAACAAATAACTTACGCGGTTTGAGCGAAATTAAATACTTATAGTATACAAAAATTGTAACGAGTAGTAGCGGAGGAAGGTGCAGGGGGACCCACATTCTAAAACTCCAAAGGCTAGATTACTCGTGGAAAACACGCTCACTACGCTCAGATGGGGCACGGTTACGAAAAAATGTATCTTAAATATAAATTTTATTGGTTTGATTTTTAGGTTCTTAATATGAATCATTAAATTTTAAAAATTAGAAGTCAAAAATATATAGTACCACTAGTTTTAAATTTTAATATACAAATTTAATTTAATTATATTAAATTCTTACCATGCTAAAAAAAAATTTATGTAACACACTTGAAAATTTTGAAAGATTAAAGAAGAAAAACAAAAGAAAATTTAGTTGAAATGCCAAAAGTGTAGCCGATAACCACTTGGGGAGATGTTATTAAAAAGACAAGATAGATATAAAGGTGTGTTTGGTATGAAGGAAAATGTTTTTCTCGAAAACAAGTAGATTTTTGACTTATTTTCTCATGTTTGGTTGGTCAGTAGAAAATATTTTTCTAGAAAAGATTTTTGGGATTTATGAATGAAAAATGTTTTTGAGAAATATCTTTTATTTTTACTAGAGTAGAAAATAATTTTTGAATTGAAAATATTTTTAAAAAATAAACTTATATTTTTTTTGGCGGGGGTGGTAGGGGGGTAAGGGTGAAAAAATAAAAATTTGAAATTGAAAATATTTTTTAAAAACAAACTTAAAATTCTTTTTTTTTTGAAGGGGGCGTGGGGGGCTGATAGGGGGGTTTGAGGGTATGGGTGGGGTGAAAAAATAAAAATTTGAAATTGAAAATATTTTTTAAAAACAAACTTAAAATTCTTTTTTTTTTGAAGGGGGCGTGGGGGGCTGATAGGGGGGTTTGAGGGTATGGGTGGGGTGAAAAAATAAAAATTTGAAATTGGAAATATTTTTTAAAAACAACATAATTTTTTTGGAGGGGGTGGGGGGTCGTGGGTAGGAGCAAGATGGGGTGAAAAAATAAAAATTTGAAATTGGAAATATTTTTAAAATAAGTTTTAAATTTATTTTTTCAACAAAAAAAATGTAATTTGAAGGAAAGTTTTGGAAAATGTTTTCCTTAATTTTTGAAGGGAAGTCATTTTCCTTAATTTTGAGGAAAATGAGTTGATTTGAAAAACATTTTCCAAAACTTTTAACCCAACCAAACATGAGAAAATTGGAAAATGTTTTCCTTCATACCAAACACACCCTAAGATTTAAATTTCTATCCTCAACTAGAGAGGTGCATATATTCAATCATCATTGTATTATTATATGATAGTTTGAACGTGGCACATCTATATTTAAATATTTTTTAAAAAATATAACACTACTATATATGATCTAGAGAAGGGAACATGGGTTCATGTTAACCCACAACACCCCTTCTAGATATGCCCCTGAGTACGCTGTGTGATTTATTTAACCGATTTGGGTCGTTAAGATATAGATACAAAATTTTAATATTTAGATGTGTATTCAGTTTCATACGTCATTCAAAAACAAATAAAGTGTAAGTATTTTCAAAACTTAGGCTCCTGCATTTTCTATCTCAGCGGGAATTTTTGAAATGACAGGCATAGAACCAGCTGTTTTAATTTGTGTTTATATTAGATGAGATTATTTCAAGCCGTTATGTTTGGTTATGAAGCCAATTATATTGGTGCCAGCTAAATCTTAGTAATTAAATATGAATACATCAATAAATCATTATGTTCTAATCAGGTAGCCCCAATTACACTCTTAACAGTTGTTGCACGACAGATATTCTCTTCCAAATTTCTGTTGCATTGATTAAGTAATTAGGTATAAATAAATAGAAAAATCTTAATAGTTGAGTTGGTAGTAAGTTAAAAACTTTTAACTATTAGTGGGAGGTCGCTCCCTTGTAATACCTTTTTTTTTTTACCCTTAATATTTTCTTTTAAGAAAACAAAAAAAAATAAGAATAAATAAATAGCAACTCATTATATATTTAGGGCTTCTTACGTTATTGTATAGGTGACAAAAATAATTCAACAAAATGGTCGTATTATATGTACTGTATCGATATTGTATCATGTATATATGATGTATAACTATGTAACAGAGATGTATATACATCTATTTTTGTTGTTTGTACAGTATTTTTACATATGCATATATTTTCTTCAGTTCTGACTAACTCAAATTTCATCTAAATAGTCTTGAATTGTATATCAAACATATAACTGGATTGTATCATTGTCATGTATATTATGTACATCAATAATGCTTACGTTCAGGTGAATATTTATAATTCAAAGTTAAATCAATAACATGTATATTATTCTCCTTCACTAATATACAGTATAAATACACACAAATTCCGTCTGTTCTTCTTCAACTCAATGTATATAAGCAAATCTATATTGTTGTAGTATATAACATATATGATACATTAATCTGATGCGCGAGATACATTAATCGTTAAGTAAGATACATTACATTTTATACATGATACACTAATCTGATGCGCGAGATACACTTATCTGATGCGCGAAAATGAGGGATTTTGGAGATTTGTAAAACAAATAGGGGATAATGGTAATAAGTAAACTAAAAGGTGAGATTTCTGTAATTTTTCAAAAAAATAACGCCTCATAATCAAACCTGTTCAATTGGATCATTAAGGTCATGTACGTGGGCTGGGCTTTAGGCAAAACGTTTTAGGCTTTAATATCATCTGAATTGATTAGGTGATATTCATTTAGCTACTTATTTTATAAGGAGAAAATAAGAGAAAAAAAAGAGCAACTTATAAAAATGACTAATATATTAAACAAGATAAAGTATAACAATTTAGCATATGAACACGATAATTTGAAATATGAATACATTGTTGTTAAACAAAAGATGGATATATATGACAATACATAAACAAAAAAAAAATGGAAAATAATAGAATGTGTAGGTAGCAAAAGTGTGCAAGTATTCGGCTGTATAAAAAAATGAAAAAAACCAACAAACGTCAATCTCTTTTGGTCAAGTTTTTCTTATAATACTTGAGGCTTGGTATTGACTCGTGTATTTGTTTATAAAAAAATTGTATTAATGTATCCAATTATACCTGTATTGCCCAATTAACCTTTCAAATTCGATAGTATTAATGTATCCAATTATACTTGTATTGCCTAATTAACCTTTCAAATTCGATAGATTACTTATGTATCCAAATATACTTGTATTCACAAATCACCATTTCAACTTGTGTTAATATTAGAATACAAGTATCTGTGTATATAACTATTCTACTTATACAAATTTGACAATCACACAAACCTCAATCTCTTTTTGCTCGTGTTCTTCTTGTACTACTTTTTTTTTTTATAACTATAGCCATTGTAATGTAGAAACAAATAATTCTTCAATCGAAAGCCTATAAAAATAGATGCAATATATATGTATACAAATATGATCTTCATAAAAACGAGGAGAAAATCAATTAAGCGATATCTAATGAATTCAAATTACAAAAATTGCTCCTAGAATCATCAAAAAGATCTTAAATTGGAAGAAATTGGGGAGGAAAATACATAAATTTTGTGATATAGAAAAAATTGATGAAAGAAAAAGTATTAGTGAGGGTAAACATGAGGAACCAATCACATAAAATATGCCTAGACATAATCAATTAGGTGTGTAATAATGACTTTCCTATTTAATATTAATAACTTTTCTGATTATTTATATATAATTAACTTTGCTATTTATTGTGTAGTTATATCCATATAACATAAAAAAAAAATGTAGCTATTTATTTTAAATGTATATTAATGTTTGCCATATTTTGTAGTTTTTCCTTTTTTGTATTCAAAACAAAGTTGGAGAAACAAATAATTCTTCAATTGAAACCTTATAAAAGTAGATAAAAATATAAATGTATACAAATATAATTTTCATAAAAACGAGGAAAAAATTCAATTAGAAGATATTTTTTTCCCTCAAAGACAGGGCAAATGGTTCATTTTATTAAACAAAAGGAAATGATACAGACTTGGTTTCAGCCCAAGTCAAAACAAAAAAAAGAAGAAGAACCAAACGTAACAAGATAGCAAAGACAAAATAAAATAAAAAAGACAAAAGCTCTAAACAACCATTGAAGAAATGAAAGGTCACCGGAGAAGATGATCAATTCAAATCACAAAAAATGATCCTAGAGTTATGTAAAAGAATCTTAAATTGGAAGGAATTTGTGGGGGAAATATAGAAAATTTGTGATAAAGAGATATTGATGAAAGAGAAAGTATTAATGAGGGTAAATATGGGGAGTTGGGGACCAATCACATAAAACGTGCCTAGCATAATTAATTATATGTGTAATAATAACTTTCCTATTTAATATTTAATAATTTCCTATTTATTTATATATAATTAACTTTGCTATTTATTGCGTAATTATATCCATATAATATAAAAAAAATAAACTGTAGCTATTTATCTTTAATGTATATTGATGTTTGCCATATTCTGTAGTTTTTCCTATAAATATATTTAGAAAAACCAATGTTGTTGCATCGTTTCTTTAATAAGGTGACTTTTGAACTTACTTAATATATTTACAAAACAATAAGTAGAAGGGAAATATAAACTAATAAAAAGATAAATCGAATTCTTACTTTACATAAATTTTGAAATTGAAACCTCAAAGAAGAAATAAATTGAGGTTTTTTTAAGAAATTATTCGAATTAGCTATTGATGAAAACACTTTGTATAATTAATCCTTCTATTTTTTTCAAAGACGTAATAACTCTTTTTACAATTCAACAAGAATTTTTTTGAAATTACTTGTGCAAAAAAAAAGGTGTAGAACCCCTTAAAGAGAACAATGCAATCTTTTTTTTAGGAACATTGTTGTAGTGAAGAAGTCACAA